ACTGCATCCCACAAAGAGATATAGTTATTTTGCAGCTCTCCTCTTAGTCATTACACCGTGTTTTCATATGTTTATTCTCGTAGAGAGGTGTCAGAGGTTAAGTGACACCTCTTCTCTCCATTTATCCTGTCAAGGGGGGCTTTTGAAAAAACGTCTTTTCAGAAATCTAAATTAACATAGAGACAAATCTGCGGCACTGAGGCACGGTGAACCCCAGACACTCGTGGTGTGGATCAAAGCTGAGAGGAGACAGGAGATGAAAGAGAAACACATTAAGCTGTTTACTAAGGTGACATGAAAAGGTGTTTTAGCTCAGTATTCAGCCTAATGAGAGTTGGCTTATTAGATATTCGAACTACCAGTTCACAGCCTTTACATCCTCACTCAACTTCAAAGAAATACTCCTTTTCCTAACAGGATGCTGTCTAATCATTGTGAGGCCCCAGCAGATTAAATTAACTATCCACTGACAGGCTTAAGTGCACTCAAGCACTACAACACGTATCACGTTTACTCTTGGTGGTCTGAATGGTCTGAGTGTAGACCTGGGTTTTAAACTTAAAATTCAGGACCGAGTGACAGTTTCATGGTTTCTACCAAAAGACAGAGGACCACAACAAATGAAACACAAACAATACCACTAAACTCTCTTCTAACCTGCATATTTTTGGCCATATTAGCTGATGTGATATTAGCTGATCCACATACTGATGCCTGTCGCCGTAGATGGACCCCCTGACTTCTCTTCTGACAAAAGTTTTATTGTTGTGTGTTTTTAGTGAACAAGATCAATAAATAACAAATAACAAAAGTAACAATATTCATATTCCCAATGTCCATTACAAGGGAATCAGTTATAAGCTAGGAGAGTAAGTGGGCAATGATGATGGGACTTAAAAGGCCTTAATAATGCACTACTGTAGTGTATTTTTAAAGCACGTCTTCTGCTCTTACATGGTAAAAACAGATGTAGTCGACCTGCCAGTTTGACTCTTAACTGAACCTCCAATGAACCAGAGAGGGAAATGTAACAAAAGACCACAGACATACTTGAATCTTTCCTCTCGTGTCATTCATGAATTAAATTATTAAAGCTTAAAGAGGTTGTGATTCTGAGGGAAAACAGTCACTCATAAAATTGTATTAAAACAACCAAAGCAGAGCAAAAAGTTGAAAGAACAACCTCTAACAATTTGACCCTATAATATAGCAGAGGAGCTTGAAAAATGATAACCTTTTCTACTAAAGTAAGCTACTGTATGGTACAGAGAAGTCACTCTAGGTTGTGTTGACTAAGCGAGGGGCTCATGAAAGATATAAAACCCAAGTGAGAATTGAGTAAGAGCCTCAACACGCTCTGAAGCCTCCATAATTTTTCTGCGCTGAGTTCAGATCCTGAGCACCAAACCGCTACTACGCCACATTGCAAACAGATGGATCAAACAGTCCTCTCTCTTTATTTGGACTTCTCTCTGTTATTGGAAAGAATCTCAGTTAGAGTTTCAAAACCTGGCCACCTTTCAGGAAAACAAATGAACACAGATGTAGTTTTCCATTTTACAGGCTGTTTATGTCTTGCAAATTCCTTCTCCAGAAGAGTGGGGTATGTTCTTTCATGTTTTAATGGCTGGGATTGACCGCAGCCCTTTGTGGTAAATGCACTTTTCCAATGCTAATGACACACAGTCACACAAGGCTCTGGCAGCAGTGTGCTACTGAGGCTGCGTGCCCACTGTGTAATTAGTCTACCACTAACTCCTAGTCTTGGGAAACATTCATGACCACATTAAACACTGACGGTTTTTCACCTCAGAGAGTCCCAAGCAGATGGATACACTCTGGATGGAGCACAAATGTCTTTCATCAGCCAGTTACATTGATAGCATTTGTTGTCTAATAGTGAGGGGAGAGTCTCTGCGGTCTCTGCTGGAGTTTGTCTGGACCTCGAAACACTGAAAGTCGTTGACAGACAGAGAATCAGATGACAATGTTTTTATTTGACTGAACTGTGTCCTCAGTGATCCTGAAACGATAAAATGACCTCTAAAATAACCTGGAGCTGACACTGTCAATAACAAAACAGGAAAATATCCAGCTCCTCACAAAAACACTTAAGTGCATTTAAAATACAAGAATTAAAGTATAAGTATTAAAGTTTAATAATATACTGCAGAATTCTGCCATCTAGTGGCCACAAAACAACACAACAACAAATGTAGGTCACTTTCTCAAAGCAGCTGTAACTAGAGATTTCTTGTTCTGTCAGTGCATCAAACACTAAAAAATGACCAAAATATAATAATAATAATAATAATAATAATAATAATAATAATAATAATAATAATAATAATAATAATTGGCTGCTATAGGTCTTTAATCTTAGTTTATTTGTTGAAACACTGACACCCTCCGCAGAAAATCTGTTGACTTAAAAAAATAGTTTAAATCTTTTTTTGCAGTTTCTTTTTATTCTTTTTTTTTTTTTGGGTGGGGGGGTGATAACTATTGTTGGTAGTTTCGTTTTGGGCGCATTTTGTCATTTAGTATTGCTCTGGATGAAAATGCTTGCTCTCCTGAAGTCTGAAAACTGCTTTTGCTTTTCTCTAACATCTTCGGTGGTTAGTTTCTTTAGTGTGTGCTCTAGTTCGAAAAGTTCGGGGACCATTAGACCACTTAATTTATCTGAATTCCTTGTTTTTAAAGTAATTTCTCATGTTCATTTTAACCTCTGTTAAACACAATGTGCAATAACACATCTGTGTGAAATAAAAACAGAACAAAGTTAAACCAAATTAAACCAAATAAAGCATTGCTTTTTAAACAGATAATGCCTTGCAGTGATAAAAAAATGACTCAAAAATGTTCTTTTCCATCATTAAATGTCTTAAATCTACACAAACACACACTCACACACACTCACACACTTATTCGCCCTGATACATAAAACAGATCCGCACAAAAATGTGAAGCTATCATGAGAAATCCTGTCAGTGATCATCCCTAGAGGGCAATGAACTCAGCACATTTCTGATCCTCCATCCAGAGCTTCCTGCAGACCTGTCTGAAGTGTGTCTTTTGGTTGGCAGCCTTACACAGAGAACAACTCGCCGAAACCATCACTCAGGTTGCAACAACCCTTATTAGCCATAGCTGTATTACACAGACATGGACGGAGATTACTAAAGCGGTGTCCCAGAGTCACATGAAAGCCCAAACACCAGACTAAGCCCTGGTGGTGACCTTGTCTGCAGAAGATAAAAGTGTTAATCAAAGCAGTAAAAGGGCCAATCAGAGAGCAGGTGCTGAGATGTGTCCCTGATCAGATCTGCAGGAGCCTTTCTTGTGTGTCAGTCTCCGTGATAGGTTGTAAAAAGTCGCCAGGGTGCTGAGCACACTTCAGTGGAAATGCATATGGTTCTGGTTTGGACGAGGGGAAATTGGATTACAGAAATTCCTTACGAAACAGCCTGAATTGTTCTTGCCAGAACAACTGCGGGTTGCTGACACAGATGAAACCACAAATCAGTCTGCAACTAATATTTAGCTCCTCTTTTACATGCTAAGTAGTCACAACAGAGGAGAAACGGCTCTGCTGAACACATTTGAGTTCAGAGAGATGAGAGGAAGAAGAGGCTCTGGTCTGATTTCCTTTCTTAAACAATCTAACCTGAAAGCAACACATGCTTTCCATCAACGTGATGTTATTCCACTCAGAGACGAAAATCAACACCATCATCTCAGCCAGTGAAACAGGAAAAACTCACAGGTGTCACTATAACCACAGAGCCTGGTCACATTCACCACTTTGCCTGAAATCATTTTTTAAGTGCAGCAATGAAAGATTCGAAGCAGAACTTGAGCACAGGGCCAGGAATGTTTCTGTTAACTGTTCAAATTAGAACCACATGTCCAATTCATAGAAAGTAAGCCGTATGTCAGAGTGATTTAGAAAGGGTTGGAGTCCTGGCCGCAGTCAACAGACAAATAGTGAGTTAAATGCATCCGTCTGCAGCCCGTGTGGATGTAGTTCAAAGAACTTGTGTAAGCTAGAAGAAGGAGACAGAGAGGGGACATGTGCGGACAGTGTGAGGAAATGATCAAGCACCTGCTGAACTCCAAAATAAGATGAACAGGCTCAAAGCAGGGTGTTAAAAGAGACTGTTCAAATAAAACAAACAAGTATGAGGAAATTACAGTGGAAATTTACACACAGGTTTTGACACATTAGGCCTCTTCTTATTCTCTTACACAGAGATGTCTGGTGGTGTTTTACCACAAACCCACTGCGCAATGTGACGTCGAAATGACGTCTATTTAACGTGTTTTTTCGACAACGAGGTACAAATATGGACGTCATTTCAACGTCTAAAAGAGGTCCAATAATGACGTCTAAATCTTGGATCTATTTTGCACGTCATGCCGACGTCTAGATTTGGACTTCAGATGACGTCCAAATTCTAGACTTCAGAACATCGTCTAAAAAAAGGTCCAATTTGGACATCGAATTTTCTAACCTATTTGTCACGTCGCACTGACGTCTAGATGTGGTCTTTGACGGACAGCCACAAATAATGCTCAGAAGAGCACCTAACTTCATCAACAGTACATATAGGGTCCCAGCCACAGCACTAGCCACCAAACATCTTTTTAGTTTTGACTAATTTCTTTAGCAAAGAGACTAAACACAACTCACCTTCTCCCTTCCAGCAGCTGCTTGTTTGTATGGAGACCTCCGGGTGAGTCCATCGACTGCAGAGGGGTGACGCAGCTCAAGGAAGAACATTGAGTTGGTATAACTAGAGAAGCAAGCAATCAGCAACATTCATCTCTCGATGGGGTGTCTAACTCAGTGTTACGGTGTGTTTGACCCTAATTTCATTTTACACCGGAATATCCCTTTAACACTAAAACTCTGCAAGGGAGCTTTAAATTTCTGGGATGTCATACCTTTTAAGCAGGAAGTGATCAGAGTCCGACTTATCTCAAAATAAAGGCAAATCGACTGTTTTGAGAATGGGTGATTTTTATTAGAAAATGATGACAGCTTACAAGACAAATTTAGCCAGCATCTGAACCAAAAAACGGAAACAAAAAACAACCAGGATGAAATTCCTTTTTCAAAAAAACCTTCGTAAACAAAGGGACAAAAACAAGTATAAACTAAAAAGTGGTACTCAAAAACATACCAATACAGGAAGAGCATTCTCAGCAGCTTTCCACATGAAAGAAAATGAATTTGTCCGGGGATTAGTGTGACATCTCGTTCCACAATAAATCAACAGACCTCGCACAATCTGTCCTCCGAAGGCTTTTTGTGAAATCGCATCATTTCAACAGGTAAGAAAAGTCATTTCTGAACTTCAGCAGACAAAGGCTTCAGATCCTAAAGTTAAAAAAACAACCTTATACTGCCTTTCTGTGGTACTCTGGAGGTGCGACCTCATAGTCACTGGCATTGAAGAGGGATGCAGAGTTCTTTACAAGGTACCTGTGATGAAAAGACATTTTTTCTTATTCATGCTGTGGATGAATCAAGGTTTAAATGAAGGGTTTGAACACGTCTCACAGTACTCACTTTAGGAAGTCTTGTAGATAACTGAGCAGCAGTGCAAGGCTCTTCTCATCCAGCGGAGTGTACGCCAGCATCGCTCCGATCCTCACTTATAGAATCAAACAAAAGAAGGTGAATGACACAACACAGGATCCCTTACCTGGGTTCAACTTATTAATACTAACTAATGTTTTATTCCTCCTTAAAAGGCAGTTTCTCAAGAGGAACAGCTAAGAACAGAGGTCACTGTGTTGAAAAGAGATTATTATTGGTCTATACAAAAGATAATTAAACAGAAAGCATTCTCTTTATACCTTTGTGTAATACTACTTTATTGTGCAACCCTAATTAAACAAGACAAGTTTTGATATCTTTGTGTATAATATGTAGATATTTATACAGATCTTTGTAATTTATACAATTACATTTTTTTTTTAAATCTCTAATTTGCAAGGAAGGGGTTCATTGCTTCATTCTGTTCCTTCTCAAACTGTTTGAATAAATTTATCTTTGACATGTACAGTTGTTTGGTGTACATATGTATAATTTTGTTCCGTGTTTTTGTTTCTAGTTGTTTTTTTTGTTGCTGTTCTTAAAGTTTGAGATAAAATAAAGAAGGAAAGAGTAAAAAAGAAGTCATAATTAAAAAAAAAAAGTTGGCATTCAAAGTTGGTATGACAAAGGACATTCGCTAATGAGTGCATGCAAGCCACTGACACAGAGTGCAGATAATTGTTCAGGTTCTTCTTTAGTATCGGATTAAATTTTGCATTATTAAGCAAACCAACAATAGGACTCAGCATGCAATCAACTTGGCAAATACATTTTTTTTTTTTACCAAAGAGTCTGAGTAGGTGAGGAGCGCCATAGATCTGGGACATAGATGTATCTGGGTGGTTGGCAAGGATGTCTGCGTACTGCGGCCTCTCAAATTTGTAGAGAAGTTGCGTCCCCAGCATGACATTGAAATACTCTCTTACACCAGCGACCACCTCATTCACGGCAAACTCCCTGAACAAAAGAGGACAAAGTAGTTATAACTCCAAATTTATATCGTTTTCTTTCTTGTGTTGCCTTCAGGGGCAGCTCAGTAAACAAAAAACTCCAGATCAGAAAACAAGTAGCGATGGATTATTTACTTGCTGTCAGAGTTTCCTCTTGATTTCTTGTAGTTTGCATAATCTTCAAGGACTGCATCAACGTTCTTCTTAGCAGGCAGGTGGAAAAGCTGAAGACATCAAGTGCACACACAAAAATTCAGATGAATAACTTTTAAATTTTAGGATGAAGATAGTGAGTGTATTGATGGTTTAAGGCTGTGAGAAAGGTTATAGTTTTAAAAAGCCCTCTGGTTTCTGACCTGTTTTTGCCTCGTTATCAGGTCCCAGTCATCCACAAGCCATGGTTTCAGCTCCTCTGGGATTTTCACCTTGACCTCTACTCGATTTATGAACGTCTCCTCCTGAAAAACAGAGGAAGTGTGCGATTCTTTGAGGCTGTTTGCAGACACTGCAGGCACCAGCCTTGTTAGAGAGGCTGCGATGTTAGAGCTCCCCCTTGTGTTCATTCTGCCATTCTGAATTCTACTGGTGGAGTTCAGATGCTACATAGTTGTGGGAGATAGTTTTGGTCATAAAATGTAAGCTGCTGAAGAATGATGGCAGGAAAGCACATAAAAAACATTTCTGCTTCATAGTAACCCCGCCCTAATTACTAGCATTTGCTGTTGAGAAACTGATATTGGTCAACCACTAATTAAAAGCCACATACAAAAGTACAATATTTACACTTTCAACTGTTGGGTCAACACGTGCCCTCTTCTTCCGTGGAGGGTGGGTTGGTTCTCCTCCTGAACTTGTCCCCTCTCCTGCACCAGGAGCTGCACCAGAAAGACACACAGTTAACTTGGATTCAATTCACAACAGGAAGTTAGTCTGACAGTTTATGGATGATAACAGACAACACAGCTGTGCAAAAAGAACTGCTGACTTTTATTTTGGTAAGTTTAAGTGCATGCAACTGAAAGGTGTTAGTTTTATAAAACATATAAAGACATACTTACTCTTCTGTTTGTTCTTTTTGGTTTTCCTACAACAAAAAATACACATTTTATAAATAAGTGTTAATGACAGGAGGCATGAAAGCAGGAAGAAGAAAGATTCATACTTACACATCATTTTTCTGCGGTGGAGCAGGTAACTTCTTATTCGGCGCAGCACCCCTCATTCTTCCTTCTACATAATGGTCTCTGAATTCACAGAGTGCACAAGTTAAAAAAACAGAGGGACTTTTTTGTGTTGATTTTTGTCTACCCTGTGGTTTTATCTTTTAGCTGATCATTTCCTGTGTTTTAATGAGTTGTGAATACCCCTTGCTTTGACACCCAGCACGTTGCAGTAAAGTTTTAAAATAACTACATAGAAATAGTCCTCTCCCTGGTGGTCTTAGTTGCTTTTATAGGTCATAGAGATGCACCAGTATTAATTCTAGCCAGTTTGAACCACTTTGAAACTCTTCACAGTAGGTCTAAGAATCTGCATCATGCAAAGGACAGTCAGTCCCTCTGCCTGCAGGACACTCAAGGTCACAGATTACTGTGGATTTTATTTGATTGTGTGTTTTTTATAATGAACCTGATCAGTGTTTACAGTCCTGTGTTTCCCAGCTCCCACCACAGACAACTAAAACAAGACAATCGCCAAAATTTGTCCTTCTTTGGTGGAAAGTTTGTAAAATCATACCATCAAATAATCTCCCCTTCACAGTTCACAGGCTTTTAACCTGTGCTCTGTTTTAACCTTTTGCATTGTTGGTTTGATTTCCCAATATTTAGCGTACTTTAAATTGAGTTTTTTATTTTTCTTTGTAAGGCGTCTTTGAGCACCTGTAAAAGCGCGTTATAAATAAAATTCAAAGCGATATAGGGACTTACTGATTGGCCCTCTGAAGCTCTTTCTGTTTCTGCAGATTACTGTCCACATACTTAAGCACTCGGCTTTCAGGAACCCATTCGTCCCAGCTGGAAGAAGAAAACACAAAGTTCCGAATTATCCTTTTAATTCATCTTTAGATAACAAATCTTGAATCAACTTTAAACTTACTTTTTGTTCCACCCGCTGTAATGAATGAAGTATTTGATTTGCTTGTCCTTTATGCTTATTTTAACACACTGGAAAAAAAGAGGAACATTTCATTATTTTGCACATCAGAGGTAGTAGACACATGGCATGATCAGAGCAGCAGCCTCACTAAGGTGGCCTACCTTAGCTTCGTAGAGCAATGGCCCATGAAAACACAGCACTCTTTCACCTGGTCAATAAAGATCAGCATGAGAAAAGTTCAGATGGTACAAACTAGACTAGACTAACATTGACCAGACTGACACAGTCCAGACTAACATAAACTAGACCAGACTGACACAGACCAGACCAGCCTAACATTCACATGAGAGAGCAGAGACAGGCTAGAGGTGCATGAATGAAAGCACTGAGCGGCTAAAACGCCACTAGAATTTCACTACAGACCTCACTGATATGCTACTGCTAGTATACCGAGTATTGTTCGGAAAATCGCTGATTCTCTGAGGATAAACATGATGCAGAGCTGTGCTGCAGAATAACAATGAAGGCTAACGTGGTTAGCCGCTCTCGGGTAGCGGTGTTGTTTCGGTTATACGGCTGCTTCACATTTTGCGCTTCCCGCCGCGATCGACGACACATTTCTAACAGAAATTTAACAATTCAAAGGGTTACCTTCTTGAAATTTGGGTTTCGGGTCCTGTTTCGGCGCCATTCACGGATTAAACTATCAAAATATGGGAAAAATCGTTAGCTCCCATTCCACTCTGAAACGGCGCCGCTATCTACTAACGTCATAGTCGACGTGATGACGCACTTACGGCGCGACCAAAGATTTGATAAAAAAAAGAAAATACAAGGCAGTCAAGTTAAGGTGACGAATGAATTGACTGGTTGAAAAATTAAAGTGGATAAAGTTGCACACTTGAAATTGGAACAAGTGCTGTATGGAAACTATAACATGCCAAACAAATTTTATAATTTGAAATTTAATAATAATTATGGGTAAATACCACATCCATAAAAGTAAATGGCAAATCTTACCTTATTTTGCTTCCTTGTCACGAATTAAAGACTAGTCTAGAGCTAGAAAACTTATGTGATGATGTCTCTAAATATATACTGTTTTAACTCAATGAATCATTAACTATCTAATATTTACATTTGCTGTTTGTATGAATTCCAAAGGTAGGCCTTGCTGTAAGTTTTGTGTTTATTTCCTTTCTACATTATGTTGTTCTAATGTATATTATCACTGTTGTTCTGTAAAAGTAAGATGTACATCTGAAAAAAATGATATAATTAATTTAATGAATTGAAATTAAGAAGGATTTGAAAAAATGTGGTTCATGTCCTTTTTCATGGACACGACTTAATTATGAATTAGGAAGTTTGCGGAGAAGTTTGCAAGTTATCTCTTTTTTTTTATTTTTGCCCCTACAAATCTTAATATGAACATTTTGATCCACTTTTTTCTGCTTGTTAAAATTTTTATTTTTCGTCCATGGTTTTAGATACGCTAATGCTTCAATTATAACTCACAAACCAGGAGAAAAGAAAAAAAAAAAAAAACTCAAGAATAAGGGATTTGCAGACATGGATTTCTCTCCTGTCTCCATAGTAACACTGGAAGTCACACACAAGTCAGGCATATAATTACAGAGAAAGTAGGGAAACTTTTAATAATTTGTTAAGTTATCTAAAGAATTTTATTGTTTTGCTAAGAAGCCTTCAATATCAAAACAAAACTATGGCTTAAACAAAGACAAATCTGTGAACACTAACTTACATATATGTATACTAATGCACGTATGTGTGTCTATGTGTATGTATGTATATATGTATTGTGGTATCTGGAGTACAGCACCAACATGCAACGTGTTAAAGCATTTTCCAGGGATAGCCTGAGATAAGCAAATGGTGAAGTGTGGGCATTGGGTCTCTTTTATTGTACCTGGTCCAGACATCCTAGCTGTTGGGGGTTTGCAGGTCACTGGTCAGATAGGCGTAAAGCAGATGATAAAGCAGATGGTAAAGAAATATAACTTAAAGATAAACAGAGGATGTAGGAGGACCTAAAACCTCTAACCCTATATAACAAGATCACAAACTCAGGTTTGGGAGAGCTGGACATTATTGGCAGTCCTCTCCCAGCAACTACAGTGCTGTTCTGATACTGGTGTTGTCTTTGTAATAAATTCGTATTATACAAGCAAGGCAGTGTCACAAAGCCTCCTTCTGCATCTACACATCGTGGACAGACCAGATACAACAGTATCTATGTGTATGTATGTATGTATGTATGTATGAAAGTTTCTGGATTTTTGTGCATACAAGAAACTGCTTGTTTTGTCTGCTTACCTGTTGTTTTTATGCAAACATGTGATTGCCTGTCTGCACTTGCATTAATGTTAGTTTTTATTTAGTGGTTTCTGTATTATGTGCTGTATTTCCCACTGTCTAACCAGGGACAAGGACCGCAAATTAGCCACGGCTAGAAGTCCTGCATACACAGCATCGGTTGCTCTTAAATTAGATTTAACAATACCTGATGTATTGTCCCTGTCAAATAAACAAACAAAAAAAAAAATGTCGCAAAAATTTTTGCAAAGTGCTGTTGAAAATGCCACTTTCATTTTCCTCTGTTTTAGCCCTGTCACTGTCACTGATTTAGTTGGGTGATCAAACTCAAGACTTACAGTAACTATGTTTCTGCTTACTGGAAAGGTAATGTCTCTTATCCATGCCTAATGTCAGAAACTCATTTAATTGTTTAAATTCGCCAAATTCTGCTCAAAGATTTTAGGATTTTTATCACAAGGGATCAAACTCTGTTTTATGACACTGACCCTTGTGCTTCAAATCAGACTATCTGTTTGCACCACCTCCCCAAATGTCAAGCATATTCAAAGGTAGGTGAGTATTTCCCTTTAAGAGGACCGAGAGATGATCATCTAACTGATGTATTTATAAACCAATCTATTTGTATCTATATCTATTTGTATCTATATCTGTTGCTTTATCAAAGTATTTCAGTCAAACTGAACTAACATCTCTCTGCTCACTTTAGTCAAACATGTGCATCTCGACCAAGGCTACCCTTAGAGCAACACCAGAAATGCACCTTCTTATATCTGTTTAATTCTTACAAATATCAAACAGCACAGTAGACCTTGAAGCAGTTCAAAATGATCAAAGCCTCTATCGAGTTATTGACATCATCTGAGTAAAACAGAGAAACAGAACGTGTTACAATGCATGTCAAGCAACAATGACATCTTTAAATAGCATTAATTATATAATTACAAAAGAAATATCACATACAATGAGAGCAATGCATATCCACAAATCAAACAAATGCTGAAAATATATATGATAATAAATAATCCTAATTGTAAGCACAAGTCAAGAAAAATAAGGGGAGGGGGGTGTCCATGATAACTTCAATAGTTTTAATGTCCGGGCCAGAATGCATTTTGTGATACACTCAAAGATAAATCTATCACAGTTATCTTAAAGGCTGCTGCACATGAACCTAATGTAATAAAAGCTACTTCTCCAGCAGCCTCACTAAGGAACAGCACAGCACTTAAATAATAATGAGCTTTCAGGTAATTCGCAGACATGCAAAGCTGAAAATTTCTTAAAGTGTTTACTGCAACTGTGAATGCTTCACTGCTTCACACAGCCATTATGTAAAACAGCAAGTGCTAAATTAAACAGAGACATGACCAAATGTTATCAATTCACTTTTTAAGCCTTTTAGTGAAAGACTGACCTAAAATGGACCAGAGACTTACTTTAAAAGTGGAGCAGAAACGCATTGCTGACAATAAGCCACTTTGCTTTAAATTCCTGTGTATATTTTTAAGAGTTCTATTAAAAAACACACATAGTTTAAAAGAAAATGACACAATATTGCAAATGGTATTTGAGCACAAAAGGTCCAATTGTGTCACGACAATAGAAGGCTGCTTGCTGGATGGACGAGTGCCATTCATTCACACACTGAACAAGCCTGGTTCTACAATACTGAAACACTCCCAGTTTTTAAGCATTTTCAGGTGATGTTATGGAATAAACAATATTGTTCATGTTTGATTTGACTGAAAGGGTGCAGAGTTATGACAACAGGAGGATCTAGCGTTTTCTTTTTTGCATTTCTAGTGGCAACAGTTCCTAGAGGCAGAGGGAATGCTTCTTTAAAAAACAGCATACATCCAACATAACTTACATCATAAATAATTCCTTAGAAATAACATTACCACAGCATGAATCTCGTACAGAACAATCTACAGTGATGGCAAAAATCACCAGATCTTTCTGCTGTCAAAGCGTTAAACAGAAATGGTGCTATTTAGAAACTAAATAAAGAGATACCCATGTTCCTGTCTTGCTGTGACCTGCCTTTTGTATAAGTTACTATAACAATGCCCATTTTCTTTATGCTCTAAAGATAATGTTCCGTAAGATGTCACCTTATTGGGTTCTGTGCACATAACATTATACTGAAATAATGCCGTTGACATGGAATATCAAACAAAACTGTAAAAACCAGGTACAAAAGGTACAATATAATCAAAGGACCACATGAAGAGGTGTGAAAAAGTCTTCAGTATTCACAGAAAAATATCAACTGAAGTAACTCACCGGACAAGAAGCGTCCTAAGTTTATATACATATGATAAGTAAAATTGAAAATAGATTTTCCTCTCTGTACATAGCACTGTATTCTTTCTTCTTCCTCTTCCTTATTTACAAAGAGCTCCTGTTCTCCAGGTGTCCTGTGTCGTTCAGTTCTGTGTGGCTCAGTCAAGAGAGATAACGTCAGACATGGAGCCATAAATGGCTGCTGCTGCAGCTTCCACCGAGGACCTCGACAATCCTGAGATGGAGTGGCTGTCCCTGTCTCTGTCTTTGTCCCGATCCCGTAGACTGCTAGAAGACACCAAACTACTGGTGCTGCCACTGTTGCTGCCTCCATTAGTGGCCACCAGCGTGCTGCTCCCAGGGGTGCCTGGCTGCTCCCGCATCATCTGAGAAGAGCTGTACGGCAAGAAGCGGTTAAGGAGCAGGTCGTGGTCCTCTGATGCTGATGCAGCCGCCGCCGCTGCCATCACCATGTTGTAATGCTGAAAAGACAACAAGAAATGACCGTAAGCACTACAACTAAGCACAAGCAAACTGTAGTATGATGCTGCTCTAAGATCACGGGTCTGAGAAAATATACCTGATTGTCGCCTTGGAGGAAGGAGAAGAAATTTAGATCTGCAAGAGAAGGAGAACGTTTTAATAAAAATATTTCTGGATCAACAATTATCTGCTCTCATAACTGGTTCTTCTGGATTTTGTATAGTCTGTCTCATAACTACTTTTTCTGCTGCCCACACCAGCTGTGAAATGATTCTTACCTACACTGTAAGACAGAGGTTACTACAATGCTGATGTATTGTCTCAGCTCTGATGTTCATGTTGAAAAAAGACCCATCAGTCAGAATCAGAGAGTAAATATGCTCTGTGCTGGTCAAGACCTTGTGCGACAATGACTTGTCTTCATTTTTTCATTTTCTCTGGGAAACTTTCAAACTGGGGGAGTTATTTAATTTATTAAACAATTTAAGTGTGCTTATTAGCAACAATGTTAACTGATGTGGACTTCAGTGAGATGTAATTATACAATATTTCCTGATTACCAATTAGTCCCAATTTGTCTCTGTGACTCTGAAAACTCATGCTGTGCTGTGATGTGCAAGATCAAGGAAATAATCAGTGGCCCTGTTTGCATGCTTACACTCTGCTTAAACTCATATGAGGATTTGGCTGACTGAGTATGTCGTTTTCTGATACAACAGAAAGTAGACACAGAACGACCATGACATAAACATTGACCACATCTCAGTAGGACTGAACCTTAAAACAGCAAACTGACTCAGACAATAATCTAAAAATATAAGAAAACATCGTTTGGAGCAAACAAGAGCCATACCTGGCAAGTCACTAGTCGAGTGGTAATAGTGGCGGTAGTCCTGGATAAGAGGTGGAGGAGGAGGAATGTAACTGGTCTCCACAGGGGGCATGCTGGGAGCTCTGGTCACAGGTGAGGCCTGGCTGTGTAGGTTCAGCACTCTGAGAGATCGAGGCGACAGAAACAACAAGAAACTAGATATAAAAACCAGAGGTTTGATCACCATCCCAACCATCGAATCAGAGCCGATAAGGGCATTTACTGAAAATAGTCAAACAGTCAACTGCAATACACACAGTAAGATTGTTTACTAAAGTGTTAGCAGTGAAGCTGTGTTCACTACCAATTTAATACGACATCTACAAAATAAACATGCAAACTGTATATCGCCTGTTCACTTGAGTTACAGAACAAAAGGCTGTTGAGCTAAAGGAAAAAACTTGGGATTTTAAATAAACCTCCTCAGGACTCTAAAGGAGCTAAAAGGCCCACAACATTACAAAACCAGCCCATCTCTGTGGTAGAGAATGCAGATTTTTGTCGTCTTTTACAGTTTTGGAATTACAGTATGTCCAAAGCTGTGCAGCAAAGCTTCTGACAACATACGAGGTGATTAACAACATGATGTGACTGCTGTTAGTTTTACTTCAGGCATTTGGAGCTCTGATGTTTGTCCCATATTATTGCTGAGCCCCACTGCACTCTGGATCGAATTCTATTTCATACTCAAGCACTACTAACTGATTGGCAAGTCATACTCATCATCAAAAAACTGGATCAGGATTAAGATCAGACAACAACCTGCAGTTTTTCTGATAATCTTTCTTTGTGTTTGTGGTTTGGACACTCACCCCTTATTTGGAGGAGGAGAAACAGGCGACATTGAAGGACAGGCTTTTTTTGGAGGAGGCTCGTCGTCCAGCTCGTCCTCTGACGAGCTATCCAGCGTCAGGTCGATCACATCAACCTTTTTGCCGTTGTCAGTAGCCCCCCGTTTTGGTTCGTGTGTTTCTGACCGAGACAAATCTACAAAGAAACAGCCGACTCACAGTATGCTGACAGATCACGAAAAGATATGAATAAAGAATGTGAACTATGCAGTCTACTCACTGTTATCTACACCATTGTAGGAAGCAGACACCTCCTGCACCTCTTTCTTTGACCTCATAGGAGCCCAGTTTCCATCTTCTTTGAACTGGATTTCATCACAATCAGAACAGCTATTCAAGATTTCCATAAACAACCTGTGAAAAAGGAAATGTGCGCACAGCTTGGTAATTCTGCAAACAGGAACTGCTTGAAGATTAGCTTTAGGTTCAAATACCCGATTAAGGAAGATACAGCTAGAATGATTTAATGACCCTTTAGATCCACGAGTCTAAAGGGTTACCAGGTGCCAGAACACCAAACATTAATCCAAAGTAATCTACCAGGAATGTGTAATGTCATGTTGCTTTGAGGTAGGTTGAACTCTGTTGTAGCACTTAAACTCTCTTAGCAGACATTGAGGCAAAAATGACAAACATCTGCACGTGTTTCATACCTCAAATGCTTAGACACAGTAGCACAAGATTTAGAATATGTTGCCAGACACCAAATGAATTTGTGTTGTGCTCACCCGTCAATAATGAGGTGCTCATACGGTGCCTTCTTGTCACAGACGGGACACACCCAGGTGGGCTTCTTCTCGTTCATTTGGATATAAAGTGTAGCATCGAAGCATTGAAGGTGAGAGCATGTCATTGATCTGCAAGGAATTGTCAGCCTCATCTTCCCAAGCTTGACAACACACACACAAACGCACAAACACAAACACAATGACTGTCAGGACCTAGCATTAATGACTGTAGCAGAGAGTTTCATACTGACAGGGTGTGATAGAATAGAGTAAATGAGTTAACATATACACAACACATTTCTTGGCAATTAAAAATATAACAATTCCAATTTCTTTTTTCACTTTGAAAAAATTAAGAAGTGTAGAGGAGTATTTACAGGACACAGGAGGGAGACTCGTAGACTGGTGGTGGCAATCTCACTTTCTGGATCAGCTGTTAATTTCTCTTTGACTGAGAGGAAGAAAACACAAAAGTATTCATAAATGCAACATTCAAACATCTTCACTCCAACTCTACAGCTTATGTAGATCTGAAGATACATTATTTTTAAGAAAAAAACAGACTGAGATCTGTGTATAAGACCTAGGGTTGAGGAAAACCAAAGTTAGTTAGAGGACGGCTGCTTTAAGAGAAGCAAAGAATATTCACAGAACTCATTTCCTTTTTCAGTTCTAAGTTTAGTTCTGGGGATTTCCAGGCTATGACTTTGTGGTAGAATGGGCCAGTAAAAATGAACAGACATAAATCTACGATACAAGTTAATAATAATGTGATAGTCTTTTCCATTGCCTTCTCGCTTACAGAGGTAGCAGTGACACATGTTCAATGTTTAGACTGTGAAATCCAGTGTCAACTTACTCAGAGCTCTCGAGTGGTCAGGGTTTCTTATTCCTTTGGCCCGTAGTCTTTGCAACAACACTGCAGATGACTGTTGTCTTACCAAATAAACAGCCATGGAAAAACTCTAACAAAAGGGGGAGAAAAGTAAACAAAACAAGTCACACTCTGAGGACTAGAACCCTCTTCACAGCAACTATGCTGGTTCATGAGATTTTGTCTAGATTTCCCTCACCCTCCCGATTTCTGAAGTCCACGACACCACAATCGTGTTAGGAACTGTGGTTGACAGTCGAACAAGAGAGGTTATATTGATGGGGCGGCTGGGCCTTTTTGGTTCAACTCCGTTTTTGGTTGGAGGAAGATATCCCTGCAGACAAAACATCCCCCATCAGCGAGCTCAGAAACCAGTGGAGTCTTTTTCAGACAACATAGCAGACAGACCAACGCCAAAGTATCTGGACTCACCGGAAGATTACAGGGTTTGCCGTTCACCTTCACGCAAAGATTTGGAGGGAAGTGATCCTCCTGAGGACAGCTTGTTTCCGATAAACAAAATCTAAAAAAGGAAAAGCTTGATTTACCTTTTCAGTTTAGTCAAAATCAACTATCATCTTTTCAGACAGAGAGGACAACCTTCTTACAGGGTGGCACTCGTCAATAATACAGTATTTGATTACAGAACAAAGTCGCACATGATCTTCAGGTCAGTGTGTTTTTGGAAAATGCCTCTTAATGTGCTGGTTAGGTTTAAATACTTCAAGTCAATCAAATGTGAGGGTGGTTAATAGATGCATATAGGATCATAAAGAAGGCTGCATAATGTGCCTGTGTGTTTTAAAACAAGTGAGAGAGTGAAAAAATATGAGCTGTTGTTTCTGGTGGCCCCAGAACTGACACGTGTAAAATACAGACTCTCTTTACACTCAGTGTCAGCACGAGTTGATTAAAACAGAAGAAGAAAATGTTCTAGACACACCTTAACTGTACTTGAACAGCAAAATCACATTTGGTCCCAGATATGTCCCTGTAGATTAAAAGGAAGAGTCAAGTCAGACTCGTAAAACACACAGACAATGAACAACTCAGATAACTATAACTGCATGTCATCACTCTAAATCATAGAAAAATCTAAGTGCTGCATAGTTATAGCAGTAACGTCTTTTGGCGTTAGAAACACTACGATTCTCATTTTTGCACAGCAACGTTTTCTCACTTACATCGAACTGCTGATTTGTTGAACTTGCTGTGGTGTTAATGCAAAGGCATAACATGCTTCCTGGAACCGCTGACTGTTGTCTGAGACTTTGAAAAAGAAAATAACAGTGACAGAAAATTACAGTCAGCATGAAAACACAAAGCACTGGTGTAAACTCTAACTGAACTTGTAAAGAATACAGCTTTGATCATTCATGTTTCAGATACCTGTGGACACAACACTCCACAAGAATGTATGTGAGAGAAAGCTGAGCGGGAAGTGGCGGACTCACCCAGACTAGTAGGCTTGATGAGCTCATCAAGCATGTCATAGAATGGCAATCTCTGTAGCTTGACATCGGGATGTACAGGGTGCAGGGCAGAGGGAAGGTGAGGCAGGCTCAGCTCATGCTTAGGCCCGAGTAAAGACACAGGCAGCAGAGGTGAAGGGGAACCATGGCTGTCAAACCCCAGATGGGCAAGGTTGGAGGCAGAATGAACTCCAGGGAGAGCCAGGTCCACTGGTGACACCATTTTGGTTGGGAACCGCCGTCTATAGAGCTCTTTAATCTTCATCTGCACAGCCGGACTGCATCCAGCCTTGAGTAGGTGGAGGGCTTTGGTCAAAAGTTCGTGTTTACGCCCATGCTTATTGCGTCCTGCATACCCCAACAACACTTGGAGCTCCGAAACTCGAAGGCTCATTACCATTTGCTGATGAAAAACAAAGTGTGAAAAAATGATGTGTTACACTGTGGCAAACACATTTTCTGACACTAGAAACAAGTTTCCTATTTCCTGAGACTGATCTTATTCCACTGTCAAACATTCCCAAGTCATTTCTTCATCATTCAAATATTTCACTGGCTTGCAAATCGTCCACACCCATGACATTTTCATATTTGAGATAACCTTGAAACAGGAAGAAATTTTGTTTATTTAGCCTTTTCACAGCCATGATCTTCACAATAGACTGACATTAAGATAACCACACACTGTCTATTTAACAAACAGTGCCACTCTGAGACAACCTTAGCAGTCTACTTCTTTCAAGGGTGACACAATTAACACCACAGCATGCGCCACATGATAATAATGCAGTGCAATCCGATTTTAAAAAAAACAACAAAAACACTTCTTGATACATTTTACTATGAGAAAATATGCGTGTAGGGTTTCTGTCAGTGTGATATTTTATATATACATGTATATTCTCACTCCAAAAATCTGTACCATACAATGAAATTATAGAAACAATACATACAATCATCTGTATATATACTGCAGGATTAGCTCTGCCCCTCAATCTTTACAATCCACACTTCTCATGTACTACCATTGCACTGTGTGAATATCTACAACTCCTAAGTAAAGCTCCTAATCAAGGGTTTCTCATTGGCAGTTTACTGGCAAAATTTACTCCAACTAAGTGCCTGAAAAATGTCAACATACCAATATGAAGACATTGTCCAGTAGCTTGAAATCTGATCCATAATGGCACAAAAAAGAAAAGTCTGTTGTATTCCAAACATTTCTTTACTGTATACGAATAAAACAGTCAGTGAGGGGCAAGGCTAGACACTAAACAAAGGTTTCTCAGCCATTTAGACAACTTTGAAGCAGTACATTGCAAACACAGCAGAGAGGGAAAGAGGACGACATAAACTGACTGTTAGCTCATCGTGGCTAGCTGTTAAAACGCCTTTAGGGAGCCGGTTTAGTCTGCTTTCAAGACAGCTTGTTTCAACCATTGAGAATTAATAACCAACATAGGTTATCAGACAGAAAAAACATCAATATTTTGTAGTCTGACAATCAAGCCAGGTATAACGCTGGTAGAGGCTAAAGTGCGCCTGTCTTCCAGGGAATAGACAGAGCCCATTTTTTAAACCAACATTACAGTCTGCTCGACAAACTTTTGTTCATGCCGGTTTGTAAACACTGCTATGACTTTAAGCTCCAATGGTTGTCATACATGTCGTTTTTATTGTAATTTAAATCTATATTTGGCCTTCTCAGCAGGTGAGTCGCTCAGCAGAGGTAGTCTAACGGAACCTCGGCAACAATAACAAAGCTAATGCTAACGAGCTAGCCTGCCAGCTAACTGTGTCTCTGGTCCTCGCCGCTCTGTTGTTTTCTTCTATTATATATTCCAATAACACAGCTCCTCGTGACTCTGCTGTCAACTGACACTGGGGACATGCTTTGAAATTGAAATCTCGCACTGAGAAACGTCTAATTGTCAAGCTAATGCGGGGGCTTGCTTTACCTTTAGTTCCGCACCTTCCGCCATCTTGTTACATTAGGAGCGCAGGCGCAAAAGCCTTCCTCAGGGGACAGAGCGAATTCAAACTCGCTCTTCACCGCTGAGCGGCGGACAGTAGAGGGCGCTGCTGCAGCGCAGGAAACTACATTCAGGCGCAAAGAGGCCCACCCGGCGCATATCTTCTACTCTCATTCAGTCTTCTTTGCGCATGATAGTAAAGAGACAAATTCAGTATATTGTCATTCACCTCATCCAACCCTACATGTCGGCATTCTTGATCTAGAGCTACAAGTTGAAGCAGAATCGATTTTGGCAACCGATTATTCGATCAAAAACAGGACCAGTTCGATCGGCAAACGTGTCTCAGCTTCATATTTCATACTCTGTCAGGTTTGCTGTTCTTCCGTTTTACAGGGTATCACGGAAAGGGCTCTTACACCTGTGTTTTGTGCTTTGAGAACTGTAAGCTGCATCTGACTTTCTGTAATATACTAAATTAATCGGTTAATCAATAACTTCAGTTTCGGACATAGCATGTGTTTTTTTTTTTAAATTTGTACCAGTCAAAAGTAGTAAAGGAAGATAACCCTCATGTGATAGAAGTACTGTGATTAGCAATAACTGGCAATAACGTGAAACAAGAATTATTATCTTTTAATAAAATTATTTATTTATCAGTGATGAAAACAAATGTTGCATGAACAAATATGATATTTTTAATAGAATATGTCGCTATGTTACAAAGTCTTGGGTGTGGCCTACTAGTTTAGCCCACTAACTCCAGTGTTTCTAAAGTCTTTAAAACCAAACAGGAATATAGGTTTTGCTCATTTTAAATAATTATAGTAGGCCTAGTGGTCTTATTCAATGCACACGCTTTTCATGGGAGATCCAATCACCTGTTTAAAGTGCATAATATCCAAAGTGAGCTATACTGGCCTGCAAAGACACAAAACACAGCAAAAATAGATAGGCTAACACAATGCTGTGAGTATTATGAGCTAAAACACAATACTGAAAGTATTATGAGCGAAGATTGGCTATCAGAAAAGCTATTAATGACAACAAAAAACCCAAACAACAATCTATAACATAGAACTACCACAGGATAAATACATTGTCATTGCACTTTGCCATAAATAATAGATATATCAATGGTGGGTTATTATTTCAGTAAAACAAATTCACAGTTTGCAAGATAGTTACATGAATGCTCAGTGTGAAGTTACATATTTTAAAATTTACAAGTAATTACAAGTTTGTCAGCTTTCATCCCTCAAAGGGTCCACGGAGATTTCTCGAAGCTGCAGATGTACAGATGAGTCCTTATTTGTCTGTTAAACGGGAGCCGATCAAGGTGGAAGAAGAGGAGATTTGAAGGAGCAGGTTCCGCTGCAGTGGCGAGGAGTCAACATCTTACAGGAGAAGTGGTGCAAGGCGTCGTGAGCTTCTGAGAGGAAGGAGATACAACATCAAAAGTGTACCAGCATGAGAGTTTCAATCCGATTCATTTAAAGATGTTGACATGTATTTCATCTGTTGCATTACTAATTCAGGGCCATGCTCTGGCTGACAGTGTAAGCCTGACTATGAGTCTCTGGAGTCAGAATATAAACTGGTGCATGAATTTAATTGACAGCAGCAGGGATTTGGCTTTTTATCGAACTGTGAAGTATCGGATAAATACGAAGATGCATATTTATCCGATCACAATTATGAAGGACCAACATCGTATTCTTTTGCAAAACAGACTGTGGCAGAGCAAAGTTCATATTTATGCTTAAATTTGAAAACTGTTCAAGAAAAGTGTTTGTTCACCTACTGAAAGTTTTACACGTGAATTTCAGAGGCCTCATTCTCACACTGGCTACCCTTCATATAACGAAGATATCGAATACACACAGGCGATATTAATCACAGCCGATCATCGATCACGAGGGAAAATGTATCGGCTATATCTCCAGTGAAAGTTGGGGTATTGGCAGCTCGGCTCTTTCCCTCTGCTTTATTTCTCTCACCTCTGACGATGTGGAGCTGCTGAACCATCTCCTCTCTGTATGACAGCTCCCTCTTCATCTGATCCTGAAAATTATCTGCAGGAATGAATCGCAAAAATGAATGTAAGTCGGTGATATATTTAAAAACACACACAGGCTTTTAAGCTGCGTTACAGCATCGATATAGACCAGAATGGTTAACACAACCTGGGACAGCTAAGCCCCATGCCTTTGTCAAAAATATCTAACTCAGAGACGAAATAATAACATTCGTAAACTGAAAGACTTGGTTTGTTTACAGGGATAAAAATGCCCTGAAACGTTCTTTTTAAACAGGCTTCACTGTTCACCCTCACTTATATTACCATGGTTTCAAGCGTGACCTTCCTGTAGAGGGCGCTGTTGGCACGATAAAGCCAAAGGACACAGACTCCTCACACTAACTCTGCGGCTTCGAAATAAAACGACTCTGGTACTATAGCTAATTAACCGGAGAAACAATCCGATTCTCGTTTTAATCCTGGTTTGGGATTTTGCAAAAACAATTCACTTCGACCTATCCAGAACTCATCGAAAAAAGAAGGAAAAAATACTGCTTAATGTAAAAATATATGATGAATCGAGTTTTATAAACGTAACAGAGAACACATTTCTAAAAGGAGCCTATGCAAAACGCCTCTTATGCTTTCAAAACAATAAATAAACAAAAACATAAATATTGCTTCTCTTATTAACTTCTTTTATTGTTTTTTGCTCACTCCAGTATTTGGATGGTACATTTACCGACAAAGCTATAATTTTTTACTTTAACACCAAAAGTTTTGACCATTTAAGAGTTTATCATGTAGATACAAAATGTGGAAAAAATGTTTGATACACTAATTTACATCAAAGACCATAGGCTGTGATAAACCAGTTCTGTTTTGCTTTAAATTCATCAGTGCGCACAGTGTATTTATTTACATTCATATGCCCCAATAGTTAAGTTCATTTAGACTAAAGTTGAATAAAATGTAGGAAAATTCAAGGAGGTAATTTCCATAATACAGTTTAAGTAAAGCTTTTACTAAGACAAGATTAAAAAATACAATTTCGGATTAAGATAGTAATAATAATAATAATAATAATAATAATAATAATAATAATAAAGGAAAATAATAATCATAATAATGGACTATGCTCAGTCTTTATGGTCCTAAATTAATTACCTGGAAGATATGATGGGGGCTCATTAAAACGAGACAAAATAGGATACACATTTTTAAAAAGCTTACCAAGAAATCTGTTCAGTGTATGTTTGAGTTAAAATATTAGTATATCAAGGATGCAGCATACAGTGTTTATTTGTTCCCATGAATTAATAAAGTATGAATTGGATAGCCCTTTAATTATATGTAATTATAATGACACATTTTGATAAATCCTTCTTCATCACTTTTACTTTTACAACAGAGATTTTTTTCTCATTTAGAATATCTGAGTTTTGCATGAGTAAAATGAATTTAAAAATCACAGCTTTATGGTTCATTGCTGATATAATATTAGTTATTTATTGCACTTTTTGCAATGTGAAGTTTGAAAAAAACAAAACATGAAAAGGCTGCTGTGTTATTAAGCCTTTCAAAAAGCTGGTGGACAGTGTTCAGGATTCATGATTGGATTGTTTTTCCTTTGTCCTGAAATCTAGAATTTGTACCATGAACAATGTGGCAGGAGTTGAGCAGGTCAAACGCTGATTGATATGAGCATGGATACACCTTCTAGTGTTTCACACAGAGCAACCCTCTGGGCTTTCCCTTGGAAACTTTCTGCATGACTATTCATGTAACTCTTTGAATCAGACAACTTTCAGTCAATGAGTTAAATCAAGAAACAATATCTTCTCCTCAGCCTTCATGTGTGATTTGGGTATTCATTTTTTTTTATGTTGGTCTATAGTATTTCAGTGTGTGTTTATTACCCCTTTCACAGTTTCTGTCCATGAAACTGAGCAACAAACATTGTACATTTTATTTTTCCTCACAGAGAAACTATTTCTAAAGATGAAGAAAATCATGTACCTAAACCAACTGGTATGTTTGTGGTGGATTTAGACATGTCATATTAAAGGTCCTGACCAACAAACATGACAAAATGAAAACACAACATGAGCCAGGAAGAAAAAAACATTGTTGAAGGACCAAACTTACCTTTCAGGTGCTGAAATTCACGTTCCAGTTTTTTCCTCAGCTCGACCTGCTCTAACAGCTGCTTCTGGAGTTCCTCTAAAAGCAGACAGAGACAGAGGAGGAGGCTTGAGGACAAGAACTCACTTCTGCCCTCTAAGACACTTTTCTATTTTTAAGGGCAGTAATTATCACATATTCTTATTTTTTAAAAATAATAAATTAAGAAAGATTTTGGTATTTATATTTTTATGTAACAGACACTTCTTACCTTTTGCCAGACCTTCTATGGCGCTTTGTGCTGGCTGAGCTCTGACTTGCACGTCTTCTCCTAAATACGCACAAAAATAATAAAGTTGATCTCTCTTTGTCGAAGAAAAAAAGTTGATGTAAATCCCCCTGAAGCGGATCTTATAATAATAATGACAGCATGAAGATGAATAAAAAACCCCTCCTGCCTGATCTTGGTGTAACTCACCCTCCTCTGTCTCACGCTGGCTCTCCTCGCTTTGTTCATGAAAAGATTTGGTTTCGATCTCCTCCACTGTGGAAGACGGCTCCTCCTTATTTGAACTCTCATCTTAAAAGGAGAAAAATCGATGCAATTGTGTTTTTTTTCTTTTACTTTTATTTTAAATGCAGCAAGATTTTTCAAAAAAAAAAAGCAGGGGGAAAAAAAGTCTAACCATGAGTTGTAAGTACTCCGGTGTGGTAGTGTGCAGGTCTGAAATGATAGGGGCTGCTCCTTTGTTGCAGCTCAGCTCTCTCCGGTGTGAACACCTGCAGAACAAAACAATCACCCAAAATGAAGAACTGGAAATAAACTCTCAATTGGAGTGCATATATTTTTATTTAAAGCATAGGTTTTTGGACACGCCATTTGCTGCTAATGTGCAAAAAATAAAAGACAAATCACCCACTAAGATTTTAAAAATGTAGCTGTTAAAAACTCACACACAAGCCAAATAAAGAAACCCACGTGCAGGAGGGGACAGTGAAATAAGACAGCTCGTGTTTATCACCGGTGTGTCTCTGTCAGAAGTCACTCACTTCAGAGAAAGTTGCAGCAGCGTGGCTCTCTGTCAGCTGCTTGTTGTGCAGCTCTCTGTCAGAGGACTGGCCCACGTGCACGCTCATTTTCTGGGACTCCACCACGCTGCTCTCGTGCAGGCCCGTCGACTCGGACCCGTTTGGGGAAGCACTGTGAGGCAGGCCGGGGGGAGGACTCCGCGGACACACCGAGGGCAGAGGCCGGGAGTTCTCCTCCTCTTCCTCCGCTGTTTTATTCGTCTCCACGTCCACGTCCGGCTCGCCTTCGCTGTCCACGCACGGGGACATGGACCGGTAGCTCGAGCTCTCGCTTAAAAAGTCAGGTGATAGATAGCCGGTGCGAGAGCCGATGAAAGCGCCTCTGTTTCCGTACAACTTCGCGATACATTCCGCGTCTTTGATCACAGGCCTGAACGCGGACACGTAGCTGATCTTCCGGGGTGCGTGGGCCATCATCCCCTCCAGCGGCCTCGCCTCGTCCCCAGACTTGTCGTCTTCGTTCCGCGTGGACTGAGTGCTGGAGCAGCGCTCGTTCTCCACCAGGCTGTCCTTGGAGGAGCTGGTGCTGCGGTCGCTGTGCTCGGATATGTCCATGTCAGTCTGTCTGGGGGGGCACAGGAGCTCGGACGGGGGTTTGTGTTGGGTCTGGTGGTACGGTGGGATGGGTAGGGCACCCGCCGCGGGCCAGAACATGGGGAAGGAGTGGTAGGCGCTGTCCTTGGTACCAGGCCACAACACACCAGGCAGGCCCGCTTTGCTCTGCTCTCCCATCATACTCTCGTCTTTCTTCTGGCACAGGCCGAACGCAGGGAAGCCGTACGGATGGGGGAAAAGCGGCGGGGGGATCTTCTGCAGCATCCCGAAACCTTTGCTGGGCACGGGGATGACCGGGTAACTGCGCGCGCTCGGTAAGCTGCCCCGGGTGTCCTCGCAGCTGAGGATCTTTGAAGGGATCTCCGGTGACTCTCGAGGACGATTGGGTCCAAGTGGTTTTAACGGAGAGCTGGAGCCTGACCCACTGCCTGGCAGAGTCCTCTTCCGGCTGCCCCCATTGAACATGGCCTTCACATCTTCCCACGCGTGTAAAATATCAGTGGGGCTGCCTTTGTCTGCTAATTTCAGATGCCTCCTCCACGAATTAAAATTAGCAGCGTCTGGCTGAGTGTACTTGGACTCTGGCGTGCGATGTGAGTGAAAGATAAATTTATTAGGAGAAAAATACATGTTGCAGTAGGAGCACTTGATGCACTTGGCCCTCGAGCTGTTGTACCTGGCGGGGATGAAGTTGCCTCTGCTTCCCCACGCGCATTCATGAGACACGTCAAAGGCAAAATTTTCTGGAAGTTTCGGAGGCGAGTGAGCTCCAAGAAACGACTTACAGAGTCTCTCAGCCTCGCGTTTGGTGATCATCCCGCAGCGCCGGGAGGAGATGGGCATCGCCCCGGCTCTCCGCAGGATCTCCAGCTGGACAGGAGTGCACTGCACGCAGGTGATCCCCAGCGCCACACGCCGGTTGTGGATCTCGTTATAGCTATAATTCTTAAGAAGAGTGTTGGATATTTGTGCTAGACAAAGTCTCTCTTGGCCGTCGATCACCAAAGACACGATGGGTATTCCGTACAGCACCGTCTCCCCCACCTGGTTGGGCTTTAAGTTCTTGGTGCTGGAGTAGGAAAGTTCCTGTTTGGAGCTTGGCGAAGAGCTGGAGTCTCGTCCTGCAGGTATGGAGTCCATCCTTGGAGGCCTGGAAGCTACAGAGACGAGGTTTGGCATTAATATGAGAGTTTGTGTTGAAGAAATAAAAAACAAAATTAGACATCTTAAACAACCAAAACTCTACTTTTAATATTAGGTTGTTGAATCTACTGAATATAGAAACATAGATAGGAAACAGTCACAGGATAAATATGCTTGTATCCTATTTTTAACTTCAAGAGACTGACTCAAAATAAAAACAGACTTAATATTGTTATAAATGAGGGAGAATAGATTTCATAGCACTTGAGATTACATTACACTAATAAGGACTGGTTGCATCTTAAGCCTTTTGCTGATAAAAGTGCGTTAATGTTCTGAAAATATGTGTTTTTAAAAAGCGTAAACAGAGTTTCTCGGTCGCTCGCAGTGACAAAAACAGTCTCAAATGTTCTCCTGTTCTGATCAGTTTCCAAACTCACCTCTAATGTCCGCGCAGCTCCCCTCCGCTCTGAATGAGAAAGCTGTGATAAAGTCAAGGTGTGAGCGATCAGGAGTCAGCTCCGTGTGTTGCAGGATGTAAAGATGTTTGCGTCAGGAGTGGGACGCAGCTATCCGTGCAGCCTCCTCTCTCGGTGCGCGCGGGTGGTTTGTGCAGCGCGTGCAGCAGCAGCAGCAGAGTCCACATGGCACCAGACTTGGAGTACAGCCCCCTCCCTCTACGACACCGGCAACAATCAAGTGACGGCAAAACTTATGGCGAGGCACTCCCGCTCACACAGGCAGTCTGCATTACACATGGATTCATGACCATTGAACACTGTGAGAGAGTTTGGTCCTACAGCAGCCTGCAGGTCTACTCCGACAGTTATCAAGTTATTAGACTACATAAACAGTATAGAGTAAAATAAAACTCTTTCATTGCTGTGTTGCCTTTGTGTTGAACATTTGATTTATTCTTCTTTACTCTCAAGAAAAAAAAGTGTCATTGACATTATGCATGAAGGAGGCAGCAGTGGGATTTGGCTAAAAACAGCAGGGACCCATGCAGCGACGCATTGTTGTACGAAAGGAGTCGGGACCCTCCGATGAATAGGACATACAGGCCTTCAACACATGCGCTGTTCCCACGGATTCATCGTTTACGAGCACGAGCTCGCCTACACGCGTTTTGACAATAACCAGCTGCTCCAAAGGTCACTCTCTGTGATCTACGCACGTGCTTTTCCCCCTGTTCCTACAGGATGGGGGGAAAAAATCAGACAGGATGTCAGTCCGGACAGCGTCGCGCCACAAACACGGGGCCTGACATTTTTCTGAAGTGGGAAAAGCTGCTTTGTGTTTACCTTTTCTATGTGGCAGCACGCGGAGCGCCGGCTCCTATAATGGATTATTGATGAATGTAACAGGACACGTTCCTGTTGGTCCTACTGACTCCGCTGGGACATAGATGTACAGTGATAATAACAATCCATCCATAATTATTCATTCATTTTGAGGAAGATGCATTGTTAAATTTGAAAGACAGATTTTAAACTTATAGAAAAAATTATAAATTAAAAAAACGACCCAAACAGAGTTTTACGTGCATTTTTGATCTACTGAAACAATTAAATAGTAAAATTCCAAATGAGAATGTAACTGCTTCAAAAAACGTTTTTGCCACATTATTAAAAAATAAATTTAATTAGTACCTTTGCAGAAGTTTGACCTTAAAGTACTCTGCATTTCTTCCGTGGCATCATCTCTTTCTGTTTCAATCTTGAGCCTGTACGTTTTTTGTATTTTTTTTGTCTTTTAATCAATTTTTTTAAAGGTTTTAAAAAAGAAAGTTTAATTTGGAAATACCAGATTCTTGTCCAAAAAATAAAATCTCCTAAAAGTGACCATAAAAAGTGGACAGACGTTGTCACGAAGCGTCTTTTACGTCAAATGAACACCAAGAGTGACGTATTCAAGCGTCCATCTGCTTACATGTAGATCAATGAGAGGCCATCGGCTGTAAAACCTCCACCGTCATCCATTAAACTCTTTAATTAAAACTCATAATTGTGATAAGATACATTTTAAGCATTATTGATGAGTGAAGGTAAACAGAAAACAGATGGTTGCAATCAAACAACTGAAAAGCGTCAAAAATTCACAAAGATACAGTCTGACTCGCTGTGCTGCCAGGAGTGCAAACTTGCAGGCAAAAGAAAAAAAAAGTAGCCAAAAAGTGAGTGAGGTCATAATCTGCTGCTTCTCCTATTTTTGTGTGCAGGAGAGAGGAGCTCATTTCAAAGTGTGTCTGCATTAATCACAGTGCTGCATCATAGTATGATAATCACCTGAACACTCTATTAAAATAAAAGTGCCAGCCCGGGGGAAATCTTACCTTACTCTTTAATTGTTTTGAGGCTTTGATAGGCTTTTTAATCTAAGATTAATTTATGCATTCTTAAATAACTCTACATATGATTAATAAGCTTGAAAATTAAAAGGAAACTGAAGCAATTATAACAAGTGGTTGGTCATCACCTCATTAGATGGTGTTAGAAGATGCAGCTCACATGCACGTCGATGTATGTGTGTGTGTGTGGGTGTGTCTTTGCTTTATTAAATATCACAAAAAATAACACTGGAGGTGTAGCACAACAGGATTCAGAGGGATAAAATCATAGTTATTTGTTATAAATTTAACAAGACAAACAGGTTGAGGGTTAGTTTAAATGATAAAGATCCCAATAAAGATGAAATGAGAGAGTTTGACTCACTGAATGTTGTTGTTTTTTTTTCCTGAAGGGGCTCTGAGCTGCAAAGACAACAACAACAAAGAAAGATGAGCTTTTTGAGAAGCTCAGTGAAAACAGTGACACTTGCTAAATGGTTGCTAATGTGTAAACAAGACATCACTCCTCCTCTGCTCTGATGTTTACTTGTCTCCTAAAAGCCCACCCCTGGGTCCTGACCCCCACATCCTCCACTGCTAAACAGAGCGTTTTTTCTCATAGGAGGAGGTGGTGGTGGTGTGCAAAGTGTGTGTTTGAGTGTAAGAGTGAGGGGGGGGGAGTCGGGGGAGTTCATCACTGCATCAAATGAGGCTGAGCGCAGGGACCCTTTTGTCACAGACAGGGACTCATCTGCCAATGGTGAGCCGTGAGGTCCTAGGGGAAGGCAGGGACAAAGGTGCTAAAAGGCTGTGTGACAATGAAGGTGCTCTGAGGAGAGCCTTCAAGTGTGGGACACAGGCTGCACGGGACAAACTGTGCCAATCACTCCGCAATTACTTTTTTGTGTGATCCAGAGGCCTTGTGTGGGCATTCATGGAAAGACGCAAGGACACGAGCAGCCAGTGCGAGGTCCATGTCCCTCTGCACTCTGCTTCTGCTTATAGAGAGCTGACCCTAAGCTCATGATGGCAGAAATGCATAAATCACCTGCTCCACCAAGGATTTGATGGTGGTAAAACCTCTTGGCAAATCCAGCCTGTTTTTTATTTATTTTTTTGTAGTCAAACCCAAAACCCGTTTGAGAAGAAGATAAGGATGATTCAATTTTTATTTTGCAAGGATAAATGGACTTGTTTGTCACATTCACAAGTTTTGTGTGCAGTGAATTGAGATGGTGCGTAGGCCTGCTCCCAAAGTCGTACTGAAGGAGTAAATAATGTCGATAAGAGATGCTCACAATATAAAAAAGGTTTTCAGTGACAAGTTCCATATTAAAAACGACAAATGTGCAATCAATATGGAATGACATATATTTCCATGAATTTAAGAATAGTATTGCAGAGGATTTCTGGATTAATGTGCTTTAAAGTAGAAAAAGTGTTTATCATAATGAAAATCATCTGAGATTAGTCTCTTCCACTGATTGATTTAATGTCTTTGACTATTAAAAACTATTTTAATTTGAGGTCTGGAATAAAATGTCAAATGTGACACTTGATCCTGAACAATATGGCTAAAAAAACCTCTAAATATGATGCTTGATATCATGACATGCAAAACAAAAACTGCAGTTTTGGGTTAATTTTTGATGAAAAAAGCTCTAAAATGTGGCCATAATTTCGACTATTGCAGCTGTTTTTTATTTTTTTAATTTTTGCACCAGTTTTCTCGTAGGAATTATTAACTGTTCAACAGAATTCTGAGAAAAGTATAATATTCAAAGTCATATTGTCATGAAAAACTAGCAGGAAATTCAATAAAATATGATATATGAAGTAATTATTGAGCCCTATCAATAACAAATAAGCAGAAGCACACAGACCTATACCGATGACTAATTATGCTCGGTTCTCATTACACTGCCTGCATTACTATGTTTACAGAGTATTTAGGGAGTTTAAGTTTAGTACACTAATACTGTATGCTACAGTGTAATAAAGAAAGATGCAGGAATCTGTCTTTATCCAACCCCGAGCACTTTCACTAGTGTAATGAGGAGTCAAGCGAGAATGGGAATTATCGTAATGATAACAAAGGTCTCTGCACCATAGCTTGGGGCTGTATTGCAGGGCATTACCATAAAGATGTGATGTGTTTGTATTGCAGCCTTTTTTTGAGCAGGAGCAGGCCAAAGAGATAATAACTATTAGTAGATGACAGTGCTTTGTGGGATTCCAGCTGCGGAGCCTAAATTTCCATACAGATAGAATGGCTCTGGGTGGATGATATGTGTGTGTGTGAGGGGGAAGGGCTGGGTGACTCAGTGGACTCATCTGTGCGCACACACACACGCACGCACACACCATGGTTTTCAAGTGGCAAATCTCAGTGTTGGACTTGGACTTGGCGTCCCTCGTCAGACTGTGAGGTGAGGTGAGAGTCTCCGCAGGTCTCTGTGGAGGAACTGTCCAGAGTCCTGAAACGGCTCGCTGCTGCTTTGATGACAGCTCTCAAAGTCAGGATGTGCAAATAGCAAAGCCTGTGTGTGTAAGTGTGCGCGTGTGAGTGTGATAAAAGAGAACTAGACATTTCCATCAAGATCACATCTGTAAAATACTTGTCAACACAAGGGACTGGAGGGGAACCATGCCGAACAAACAAATAACAGTCCCCACATTCCCCCCCCAAAAAAGACAGGAAAAAAAAACCCACTGGACTTTGAAGGTTACAGACTTTGAAACAGAGTAAAGGGGATGTGTACAGGAGTTAAAGTCTACTATCAAAAATGTTCATTGGCAGACTGTCATTATATCATTTTATTTTTGCAGAGAGATAAATTGCTCTCATGCCTTTAGGTTTGACATGAAGTCACAGCCAATAGTCACCTGATTGTGCTTCACTTAAAGACTGGAAACAACAGACTCTTGACACATTGCTTTAACCTGTAAGGTAAGACTCATATATGTATGTGCCCAGAGCAGCAGAGCCAGCACCCTCACTGAAGAGGTCATCTGTCAGCATTCCCACTGCAGGATTGCAAAAAAAAAACTTGATTCAGGTGTTAAAGTCTATTCTTAGAAAAGGGCTGCACTTGCCGTTAGTTGATGATATAGTTTTATGGAATGCAGGATATATAATATTCTTTTCAACAAAGATATTCAACAAAGATAAGGTTGAGGAGGACGTGTCCAAAATTAGAAAGAAAAATTAGGAAAGCTAAAACAAAAACAATAGCTTATCCTTGGCTTACTTTTTGTGACTCCTCTAAACAGAGTACAGTCTAGCTCTGTCCAAAAATAACTAAATTCCTATCTACTTATATATTGAATATGCCTGTTGTTGAGCATCTTCTTAGTTTATCTTTTCCAAATAGCAAAGTATTTGCTCAAAAAAAAAGGCTAATGGAGATTTGAACCCTATAGACCTGCATTGAATCTTCCATCTTTCAGTAGCAGACTCATTCATCGCTCAGTGTTAAATTTGGCGCTCTCCTTTGCAGGAGTATTTGTAATGACAGGGCCAGCACTCACATGCTAAGGTTTCCACAAAAAAAGGCCTCCTCACAGCAAGGGCACTGTCGCTGCTGCTGATTGCAATAAGTAAGAAGGAAAAAAGCTTGAAATGTTTTCTTTTTTCCTGTAGAATTATGGACACTTCAGCCATATATTTCATCTGGGGACTGACCTAGATGGGAGATTTATATTTCAAGTTCTTTGTCAGAACTACACCGGCTGTTTTCATAGACTAAATTTAAGCTTATCTATGCAAAGCTAAGTACTCTCTGGCTGTACAAGATTGATCTGACCCCTTAGTCAGAAAGAAAATGAGACAAGAGGTTTGAAACAAGATATGGTTTGCATAATAACTAATTAAAATGCTGTTCTTTCCATGTAAAATTGAGCTGCAGATAGTGATAGTGTGTCATTCTGACCCCGAAAGGCTCATAGACAGAAAATGTGAGATCAGAGGGCAACTATAATGTAGTATTTTTGGGAGGAGGTTCGGTTAATAATAGCAGAAGATAAAATGGTTGAAAATCACAGAGAGCTTCCCTTGAGTTCCAGTCAATCCACTGGTGTAAGTAAGTCCACAAACATCTGTAAACAATGGTGCACATGTTTTCTATCAAACAAACACAGCTGTTCACAATGACGCCCTGGAGATCAAACAGGTAAGAGGGCCACCAGACTCTGGGAATGAGCAGCCTATTTGGTTGGCTTCCAGTGCCAGCCATGCTGTGTGTGTTTATGTAAGTGTGAGCCTAACAGAGAGGAGACAAAGATAGTGAGAGCAGAGAGCGTGAGGACACCAATCAACCTGTAATTATCCCCCTGGTGTGTGAACTGCCCAGCTCTGCGTCCTTGATAGATTCACCTGACCCAATAACACAACACACATGACCACAATGGACTGCAGGCGGGATGAAGACAACACCACAGATCAGCCTGGGATCGGCAATGAGACAAAGACCTAACATCTGGGAGTTGCTGCGAAATTAAAGAACCGAGAGACTGAACCAATCCTGTTACAGCTTGCCATTAATAGCCCGGGAGCTGCTTGAGAAACGGCACAAGTGAGGTGACGCAGGATTCAATTTCATTTGATATTAAAGAAACACCCCTTGGCATCTCTCGACTACCTTTTCTCATACTCTCTCCCTCTGCTGCTCACATCACTCTGTTACCTTAGAGTGATGTATTAAGCCATTTAAATTAACAATAGAATGACTTATTCTAATACGGCCATCGCGAGGAGAGCCTGGGACACAAACCTCAGGCTGGGCAGCCATGCATGCCGCTCCTTCCAGATAGCCCAAACAATCCGGCCAGCACTCCATCAAAAGAGACGCACATTCACATGGTCATGATGATAGAGAGAGGGTGAATAACACCCATGAGCCTGTCATTACTGCAACCTAGAACTACATCACCGGGAGACGAGTAAATACATGTCATATCTGCGAAGCAATCGAGATAAAAAGTAAGTAAATACAGCAAAGTCCTTTAGAGAAAATGATGTTTTCGGGAGTTTGAAGCAGATTCACAGACTCTGAAAAAGCCAGTGAAATTTCATAACTGCTTCTCATGTAGTCTCTGTGTGATACAGACTTCTAAATCATTCATACTAAGGCCTTGGTCAGCTGAATACAAATGAGGATACAGTGGGTGCCCCGTCTGTCCCTGAGGGGGTGTACAGAAATAGATCTGAGAAAAGCACAGTTTGATTGATGCTGCTACACTCTGAATAATGATCGGTTCAGAGGTCAAACTACTTCAGCGGCATGCATTATATCATTAATTACAGACATCAATAAACAATAGGACACTGCCCATATGTTTTAACAGTGCTTATGCGGCCTCTTTTCCCTGCAGTATAATTTCACAATTAGTAACCATTACACACTGACCTTACAAAATACAGGAAAAAGACATGAATCTGCTATTGATCGCATTCTTGTATAATAGCAGAAAAATGTGGTGTAGTAATTACACGTGATGAGAGAAGCACATTTCGAACTCACAGTTACATATGCAATTAAAATATTATTCATTACCTCTTAAATAAAAGCCTGGTTCTGGAATCCCATTAAATTTAGGATAATTGTGTGTGTTTAATTATAAGCCGTGGCAGGAAGGAAGGGAGGAAGGAATGAAGGGAAGGAAGAAGTTTCAGAGAAAGTAGCAGAATGTGCTGTGACCTAGATAGCAGAGGAGACATTTTGTTTTAAAAGTGACCTTGCTGTGAAACCTCAGCTCAGAATAGCTCAGATAGTTTTCCATGGGCTCTAAGTGCGGAGATTCATCACTGAGGATTCTGTTTAAAACAGAGCTCGAAGAAGAGGGGCCATCAAATCTTCACATTTTTGGCTGATAGAGGCACACAATGGCACTGTAAAACCGCAGCGTTTATAGGATTACAGGAGCTTTGCAGGTTTTATACTTTCTGATATGCAGTAAAGGCATTTACTGTTTTCACTCCAGAAGAAAAAAACATACTGGTGCTTTTTTTAAGTACATTTATACAAGCGCTGTGTTTCAGGAGAGTTCAGTGACATTTATTTACTTGTTCTTTTTAGTCTCAAGCTACTTGTACCCAATGTCATCTTACAGTGGAGGTACTCAAGAGGAGACAGAAAAAAAGAGTTGGATCTCTATGTTCCCAAAACATGAAGCAATAGTGTATGTTAAAAAACTTGCTTAGAAAATGAACTGAAGACTGCCTGACAACAAACCAAAAGATAGCCGCTCTTACACAGTTGTTCAGATAGACAGATTTTAAAAAGGGCAAAGCTCAGAGAAAGTCAGAAAGGTGAAGGTAGAGCTAGCTGCTGTTCAACTCAGCAAACACAAATAAAATAGCATAGAAATATGCCTTAGCACCTTTGTTATCCTACAGATCAAAACAAAAGAAGATTTAGAGAAGCTAGCAGCTTTTCAACTTAGCTTTGCAACTGCAAACAGTCTCCTCCTGATAGAAAGAGTGACATGAAATAATATACTGCCCAACAAACTCACTCCGTGATTTAGCAGGAAACAAAGAAGTTTCAAAAGCAAAGGCTAAAGCTAGCATGTTTTAAAAAACACCCTCTCCCTTTTAAGACCCAGAGTGTCATGAAACAGCACAGTGCTTTGCTGTCAAAAAGCCTGTTCATTTTTGAACCATTCTGGGATGTGGCACATATTGGTCTTCGAGCCACAGTGTTCTGCTCAACAGTTTAGATCTGAGGGCTTCAAAAGAGACAACAATACGACCAAACTAAAATATGAGGGACCCCGACAGAAGATGAGACATGAGAGGACACCTTGAAAAATAAGTGAGCCACTTTTACACTTTGGTTTTTGTACAGATTGAACAAACATATATCATAACACATAAAGGACAAGCTTAAAGATTCATGTTTTAAAAAATTCAAGCTATTTTTATTATCAGATTTTTAGCTTAGCTTAGCATTGTCTGGCTGTAGCATCATATATCTGGGACAGACATGACAGTTTGTGTATTAATTTTTCATCTAACTCTTATCAATAAAGCTGGTATTCAAATTCACTTAATGGTCAAATCTGAGAAGCCTTCCAATACACTGTTACAGAAAAGACAAACTACAGTAAAGGAGCTACAAATATCTCTCTCTCACTAGGTTAAAGCTTGTCTTTTGTACAAAGGGAACTATTACTGTCGTCACTTTGAAAGCATGATGCTGATGATACTGTCTTCTACACAAGTAAAAATAAAAAGTGTGAGTCTTTCATTCAAACATTTTTGTATTGCTGTGTGGCAACTTTTACTCAAGTAACAAATCTGCATATTTGTAGATTTTGTACACAGAGTTGCTTCTGCCTGAGCTTAAGTCTATGTGTGTGCTGTCTGCTGCCCCAGCCCAGCATCCCCTGCTGGCTCCCTCAGAGCAGCTCGGCTCGGGCCGGTGGCTTCAACCTGCAGGCAGCCACAGGACAGCCTGAGCGGAGCTGTCTGCCACTCCTGTGCTTCATTAGGAAACAAAATATAAGGTTTCCACTCCATTAAGAATGACTTTAGGAGTGAAAGCACATAAGACGCCGACTCACCTCATCAACAATGCATTGCAATAACGGCTGAGGATGAATGAGAGCGAGTAGAGGAGGGGAGAGAGAAAACAGCATTAGCCCGTATACAATGTCTTTACAGCAGAGTGGGAAGAAAAAAATCATTAATGCAATAAAATGTGGTCAGATTAATCAAATGCCTCAAACTCTTATGAAAATATTACAGGGGGAGAATTTTCTATTACATCTAATGGTATCTAATCTAATACTGGCAGTTAAAGGCTTGGGCATCTATTTATTGTGAAACACAATTTAGGAAGTTTAAAGGGAAGCAGTGAAGCATGCGTGCAGCATAGCCGTCAGGAATAGAGGCAGAGATCTTTTCCTGCTATTTTCTTTCCTCCAACTCATAAAAGCTTACCATTAAAGATTGGAGGTCTGAGGTTTTCTTTTTTTTTGGAGGGGATACACAAGGGGAATGGCAATATGTAATTAGCCTGTCATAATCAAAATGACCCACTCGGACACTTTATGATCAGCGAGACAAAATTACTGCACCACTGGTGGCAATCTGTGGGCATGTGTTAACACCATTAACATAATGAAAATACACAAATGTTAATAGCCCGCCTCCTCACACACACACGGACAAGGAGCTGAAGCAAAATGTTAATTTCACAGAGTCTTTTCACTAACCTGCAGGTTATGGGGAAATGCTGTGATGAAAAAAACACACAATCTTTTTGTAAATGGCTTGGAAGAAGAAAAAAGTCTCCTTGTCTCTCAAAACAATCGCTGGAAAGTATCATTCCCCTGCTGCACATCTCCAGTGAGAAACTCTATGGAAGATCCCATTTTCAATTAAAATCTCATTTGCTTGGAAGTTGAAATGAAATCATGTTGTGAATTAGCACATGAATTTACATACTGGGATGGCTGCCAGTGTGCAGGGAGACTAATTTACCTTAAAGATTGATTCTTGAAAAAAAAAAAAAAAAAGATCTTTGCAATGGCGTGGGAGCAATGATGCATAAGTGAGATCTGGGGAAACATTTACCAACATCCAGCAGCAATGAAAAACTGGATTGTAACCAGTGAGGAAAAAGAAAATTCTGCCTCAACTGATGCACAGAAGAGTCAAGGAGTTTCAACATGAAGATAAAAAATTACATGAAATAAATCACAAACTTTTGGAACTTTTCTGGATCACGTCACGTCTGAAAGTTCTCATTCTTAATTATGGATTCAAAGGCTTTGAGATACAAAGAGTGACAAAGAAACAATAAGAGTTTCTGTCACTGAAGCTAGCATCCCTGGAAACGCTTGTCCTCAGATTTTTTTTTTCTGTTTTCAAGATCTCCAACCTGCATTTTACACCCAAAATACACTCCTTCAATCAGCCGTCCACTGCCTCTGATTGTCCAGTAAATTACCTGCTCATTTTGCAAGGCCTTGTCTGACAGGACGCTACAGCTGTTATTGATTCATTCTCTCAATTAAATAAAGCTTTGCTCTCTCCACTCCTTGTAAATACCTAGAGACCCCCTATCCAACACAATATCCATTCTTCTTACGCTCCTAACATTATCAGTCTGCACGCAAAATTAATCCCCCCACTATTGCTGAAATAACTATAATTGCAAACTACACAGAGAAAGCAATTGGAAAAGGGTTTTAATATACATTTCCAGGTGTATTCTCCATTTGTTCAAGTCAATAACATTTTTCATTAACATTTGTAATAAAAAAAAAAGAAGTCCCGTCCCTTGTTCATTTCCTTTTTAATTCAGAGATGAATTCACGGCACTCTTTCCAAACTGCCACACATTCTCATTTAATTTGGTTTAAGACATCCAAATGAGATTAATGTTGGCCATCAACTATAAAACATTTTAATCTACATATTTATCAGCTGAATGAGCCGTGACTCACAATAGGTAAGATGTATTAACATGATTGCGTGTTGATGCAACACTTTACTATAATGGAGAATCAATAAATGGATGAAAATAGATAGCAACTGTAAGAGTGCAGTTCATGCCATTTTGGATATTTATTGAGTTATTTCTTTGACATACTTAGTATTTGAAGGGATGCCTTGAAAATTCCATTTCCTCCTTCAATAGCAGCACACTGTTATGTGAACAGCTATATTCTTTTGAGAAGGAATGAAGAAAAGCAGGGAGGCAGTCAGTGTGCAAGGACATTTTAATGTCTCCACAGACAAGGCAAAAAGAAAAAGAGAAAAAGAAGAGAGAGACCCTTGTCCGTCCCCTGTCTTCATTGTTATCCCTCTGATGGTCCTGCAGGTGGGCCGAAATCTGAGTGGCTCAGCCTTAGCTGAACTGAGGTCAGCTCTCCACTCGTCTGGGCTGGAATTATGGGCTCGCCTTTTGCCCGCAGCGCACAGATTTAGCCGTGACCCTGAACACAGCCTCCCCCAGAGGTTGACAAATTTTATCACCGCATTTTACCCAACTTTGCTCTGAAAACTCACTCATGACAGCCAATCCAGGCCCACCAGCAGCTTCCCCTAACCTCATATCTCATCTCAGACATAATGGGAAAATCAGACCTCTGTGAACAGGAATCTTTGAGGATTCATGGGAAATAAGGACACGTGCTGGTATGACATGGGGGGGTTAGTCACAGTCGTTACAGCTGGAAATTAGATTCTTAGACTCTAAGAAAGATCGAGTATCGAGTTATAAAATCACGCTAAGTCACAGGAACGAAGTAAGACTACAAAACATACAGTGAGTTTACCTTTATCTTGAGTTGTAGCTACAGTTTACCAGACCTTTCACCAAAGAGGTCAAACATTTCCTCCTCCCACAAATGTAAACATCGTAACAAAGCAAGTTTCCCACTAAACTGTTAAAAATTTATGAGAATGTAAAATCAAATTGTATTTTTTCTTGACACATAAGGTTCTGTAGAGCAAACAAAATCCTTGAGACACAATTGATTCAGTTTGAGATGTAATTGTAGTCAGTAAAATAAAAGTCATGACAAATATTTCGGGGGTATTTGCAGTGTTTGCAACTCTTTTCTCTCTAAACCAATGAAAGCCACAAGTTCTACCCGAAGACAGAGAAGAAGGGGGAAAAATGAGCTCACTCGAGAGACATAATAAATCAGAAAGCTCTTTGCTAGCGGCAGCATGCACATTAGACCACATCTTCAAGATTTTCAGAGCAAACCGTCAAGCAAAACTCCATTACCTCCTGACACAGAATGCAAATGAATCACAACATGGGGTGGGATGGAATTAAAGACCCTTCTCTAATCAATGACAAGCCAGGATGAAACCCTCTCTTCCATGGCTCTGCCATAGGCAAACTTCAAGCTCCCTGAAAACACACACATGCACACTTGTGTGCACGCATGCATGCACACGCTCAGAGACAGATTGAAAGACGTGCACATGTACAGATTTGGCACCATCTCTCTGGCTTTTCTCCAGCTTGATTTTTTCAGAATGAGGACACGAGCGTGAACCTGCCACCGTCTTTATACGTCTCTCTATATCAACAATAAAATGAGAGTGTGTGTCAGGTGCATGGTGCCGGACTCAGGCTGTGAGGTGAAGGGAAGAGCTGTCTCCGTTCTGTAGCGCTCTGTTCTGCTCAGACAGATGCACAGGCCTGTGTAAATGACAGCCTGAGCCCGAGGATGTCTGCTGGCTGCCGCGCGGCCTGCTACAGCCTGCAGGTGAAGTGTCTGTGGCGCCATATGGAGCGGGGAAAATTAACAACGAGAGGAAATTCTCCAGAACAGCGGGAGTCCTTGCTAGTCTCTCCTCCAAACAAAATTTAAAGACGTAGAGAAACAAGAGAGGGGGAGTGATAAAATTAATGGGGTTCAACATTTTAACACAACACCGACGGCAATGTTTGCACAGAAAAACAAGAATTCCCTTTACAGTTTAGTCACATTGCACTCCTGCATTATAAATCAGTGCCTGGCTTAAGTAGTTTGACCCGTTCTATAAATGTACATTAACCCTGCTGGTGCTCCCTTGCAGGTTCTAGGCTGCTCCACAAGCCCAGCACAGTGGCTGTTAGTGCAGGTGAGCTGCCTCTGTCCCTGGTGGCTCCTTACGCTTGCTGCCATCATCGAGGAGGAGCCCCCTGTGGAGCCTCTCTTGGTTTGGGTCATTGATTACAAAGAGCCTCCTGGTTTTGTCTGACAGATGTGAATCCATGCTATTTAATTTGGAGAGTTACCCACAAAGGGACCACCATTAGCTATCCAATCTGACCACAAATAGTGTTCCATTAAGCAAAGAGTTTGAGAAGCTCTGCTGGTGCGTCTCCTGACAGCATGAAGGAAGCCTTGGCATATTACACTGAATGTTAAATGCTTGGTTGTTTAAACAAAAGGGAGATCTTACTTTAAAGAACGTCTTTGTCTTAGAGATGCATAAAGAGTCCCCTCAGCGGGATTCTTCAGGCATATTAGAGCTGAAACTGTCCTTGTTTAGTGTCTAAAGAGGGTGGGGTTGGTAGTTAAAATGTTAATAAGTGCAATTCAGTTTTAATTTAACAGCCCTCTGCATTCCTAATTACTCCACTAGCTGTGAATAAATGAGGAAGAGAGCTCATCTCTTGCCCTTTGCTTTCAACACAAAACACATTCTTACATTTCTGATAGTGAGCTTAAGAGGACTGTGAGGAAAGTGATCTCAACTCATCGTCTCTCCATGAACAAAGTAGCATGGCTCAGTCGGTGATTTCACCTATTATTTTCTCAGTAGGCAGACGCCTTCGACTTCGCGTGAGAGCTGGTGCAGAATTTGTTGACAAAGTAAGGAGACAAGTGTGAAAAGTGTGAGGAAGCAAGATCCTAAAAGGAAATCGCATGATCTTGAAATTTCCTTTTTAAACATTTAACAATAGAAGCATGCATCCCTGTACAGCCGTGGAATCGGAGTGTGCATAAATTACTTTATGTAATCATACAATGTAGATTAGCATGATAATGGTGGGTGTTAATAGATGCCAGGAAGCAGGGAGTGACAGCACTTTGAAATGAGACATGCTTGGGGCAGTGGGCTCACACATACTCATGCACGCACACACACACATACACACACACACAGCATCGGGGGATAGCCAGTGAGGCTCTCGTGCCATTACGACAAATGTGAGTGACGGGGAAGAAAGTCACATCTAGCCAGCTGCCTGAAGGCTGCTACAGTATTTCCACAAGTCTATAGGCTCCCGGTCTCTTGGGGAGCTCTATTAATTGTGAACAAAATGGTCCACCATTAGATCTAATGTTGTGAGAGACTAGAGGACATCTTACCAAGACACAAGGGCCAGATTCAAAAATTGGCAGTAATGATACTCGCCTTGATTGGCCAAATTTACATACTACCTTTGAGTTTTTAGGATTGGTCCTAATAGAAATACATTTCAGTTTGTATTTCTTTTGAAACTTGAGCCAGTCCTGAGAGATATAACCAAATGAATATTAGATCACAGATAGTATTGTGATGTAAGTGGGCAGATCAGATGGACCCCAGGTTTAATCTCCTCTGAAAAAGCCAAAATCAAGAACACCAATCATGATTACGGAGCTTTGAAGTCAGCTCTGCGGTCATCCTCAAAAACCTGCATTTCCAACAATGCTTGCCATTAGTTAATCAGACTAAATTTAGCCCCCCACAGAGACAAAAGAAGGGTGAAAAGACAAAGGAAAGGTCATGGGCACTTATTTAAAAAGCCTCCTTGAACACAGTTGGCACATGCAAGAAAAAAAATAACCAGTCCTTCTTCCTTTCATCCTCAAAAGCCTCAACAAATCACAAAGACTCCAAGGGGATGCAAGATGGAGACATAAGGACCTATAGCTTTACACAACAAGCTTGTGTGATCACTCCTGTGGACTAATCCAAATCAGAACGGCTTAAAGGGAAGTGCAATTTGATCAACTCTGATCCAGCTTATCCACAGACCGCAGAGATTTGTGCTCACATATAAACTCTTCACCGTGGGGTCCTGCAACTCCAGGATGTGACAATACATCTATCTTCTTGGAGATTAGGAAACAGTTTTTTGGTAATTTTGTTAGCAATTGATACGGCCTGGTAGCTGGCAATTGGTAGCTGCCAAAAAGGTGTCACATACAGCTGAACACAACAAAGAATCAATACTGTTTTTCATGTTTAGCATGCTATTACAAGGCCAACTGAACCACCACTTCCCTCTCTGACCTCTATCAGACAACTGTTTTCACACACATGCTCTCTCCTGGTTGGGACAATGGCCGCAGCCTCCTGAGTCCACCGGAGTAAAATACAGGCCCTATGCTCAGGGAGTCGGCACTGCTGACCTTCTGACAGCCCGGGCCGAGGAGAAAGCTACATTCATGAGCAGATCTGGGGGTCAAATCACCTCACACACACTCCGAGGAGAGCTGAGTGAAAATTAATTAAAAACGCTAGTGTGCGGTGAATGACAGGCCGCTTTTGTTGCTCGTCTGCATTGACGGAGGAGGCAGGACGGTCCCGTGTCCCCGGTGCTGGCAAGCCCCTGGTGGCCTCAGCCTTTGTCTGGCTGCCAAGCTTGTGCCTTATCAGCGGCAGCATATCAATGAAGCTGCTGTCTTGTTTGTGCAAATGGTAATTAATACATCCACATTTTTGTGCATTAAAACAATCACATCTTAGCAAAGAGTAAGGAGAGAGCGGTGGATGTGTAAAAAGACCTTTGGGAGGTCTGCAGGGTAAACAAAGAAATTTCATCTTTGTTTCCCCTTCATGCGCTCAGTAAAATAAACAGACACACAATTCTTAACCCACACATCATCCAAACATACAGTTTAAATGACAACCCAACAACAGCATGGATTGATGTACAGTCTGTGAGTCTGTGGTCTTGGCAGAAAAGACTCAGAGTGCAGCAGCATTTAAGCAAGAAGAAGCTCAGAGTTTGATGTGCTCCATCAATCCTGTTCATGCAGAGATGATGCAGCTTCCACATCCATCCAATGAGCCCATCACTGGAGTTTAGTGGCATGTCGCAGTTTAAAGGTGCGACAGAAAAGTCAGGGAACAAGGGACAAAATAGTCTCCCTAACTCTCAGTTTTAACTACCCACGTTCCCTTTGGCCCACACTCATTAGATTCAGAATGCATGTGCCCTTGTGGCTTTTTGCACACACACACAGACGAGGACACGTAGTCATGCTAACACACACACTGTTGTTCACAA